TGTAATCCCGCGCCTTTGGGAGGCTAAGATGAGTGGATTGTCTGAGCCCGCGGGTTCGAGACCCGCCTGGGCAGAGAGACCTCATCTCTACAATAAATCAAAAACTCAGCCAGGTGTGGTAGCGAGCGCCTGTAATTCCGGCTACTCGGAAGGCTGAGGCAGAAGGATCGCCAGAGTCCAGCAAGTCGAGGCTGAGGTGGCTGGAAGCAGCCACTGCACTCCAGTCTGGGCGACAGAGTGAGACTCCAACTCAAAAAAAAAAAAAAAAAAAAAAGAATATTAGCCAATCTCATAGAAATAAGAAGAGCCATGCTATTTGACCTGGTGTTTCAATACTGTTCATGAAATATGTATTAAGTATCTGTAATGTACAAGAAATTTGATTAGGTAAAATACCAACCACTAAAATGTCTCCAATAGGCAGTTACTGTGATGAGGACTATGTATTTAATTTGCTTTGTGGTTTCCGTAATGGGCCTTCTATTTCTCAAGACTTTTTTTTCTGATTTTATATGACTTCTTTTCCACTTAGAATAGAAATTAAAAGCTCATCCCCGTGAATCCCGACTCTATGTCCTCTCTGCACTTGGCACTTAGGTGACCTTTGCTTCTGCCAGTTCTGCTGATATTCATGAACACTGAGGTGTAGCTGCACAGCCACCCCCAAAATGCTGTTGTGTCATCCACTAAGAGGATATAATGACAGAAACAGGACAGCCTAATAGCCATGATTTTCTTGGGGCAAGTCAAAAAAGAAATGATACCACTAACCAACCTTAATTATAGGAGTAAAATGAAGCATTTTACTTGAAAACAAAACTCCCAGGTGAAGTGCCTCAATGGATTTGTGCTGTTTGAATGTGATATCTTTCTGAAATGTAATTCCACTAATGAGATTATTGCTTCACTGCTTAATTCTTGGGGTCAGATGCCATCGCATTTTTTCAAGCCGAGTGGGTCACAACCAATCAGTGTTTACAGAGGTGCTCGATTAAATCAGGATGAGACATGATTTTCTAAAACTATAGCAAGTCGTCTTGTTCCTGGGAACCAGCAAAGAAGGCTTCTGCCACTGTGCCTTTGATTTGTACAACACTATAGATTGTACATCTGCCTGAAGATAACCCTCCGAGTGTTCCCACTATCCCAGGCAGTATTTTGATGACCACCATTAAAGGTGAATTGCTTAAAAATAAGCCATTAGACCTAATGGCAATCATTCATTCATTTTTTTCCTCCAAGATTCTTATCAATCATTTACTATGTGCTAAGCAGAATTCTCAGAGATTGGAACACAAAGATGAGCAAAACTGCACTGGCCCCTCTGACGTAGTTGGAACTATAGGCACATGCTACCACACCCAGCTAGTTTTTTGATTTATTGTAGAGACAAGTTCTTACCATGTTGCCCAGGGTGGTCTCGAACCCACGGGCTCAGGCAATCCTCTTGCCTCGGCCTCCCAAAGTGCTGGGATTATAGGCTTAAGCCACCGCACCTGGCCTCAGGTAGAGTCAAAAAAAAGAGAGAATCGGCTAAAGAGTGTGGAATGGTGGTGGCAGGGTATCTGGGGATGGCCAGGGGATTCCACCTCTAGGAAGGAGAATTTGAAGAGAGTCTTGAATTAAGTGAAGGTGAGCCATGTGAAGATGTGGAAGGAGAGTGACCCCAGGCCAGGAGGTTCCACGGGGACAGGTGAGAAGAAGTCTGGCTGGAGGGACAGTCAGGACAACAACATGAATAGAGTGGACTGAGCAAGGGGAAATGATGAGGCCGGCAGGTAGGTGAGGACCAAATCATGTAAGGTCTTGCAGGCCACAGTAAGGGTGGGGTAAGGAACCGCGGAAGGGGAGACACCTCGTGGTCCGAGTTCTTGAATACTAGGGTATCTATTTCCCCTCTCTCTGAAGGAATGGAAGATTCTAGAGACATTTCTACAAGATTCTACCGGAAATAGTTACTGGATGTCCAAATGGAAAGGCCGTTGTCATCAACTGAGGAGTAAAATGTTTTTTAAGACATGACCCCATTCTCAATGGAATTATCTGTTGGGGAGACAATAAATAAAAGAGAACAGTATCAGGAGGTATTCGTTTTCCATGCTGGGTCTCTGCAATTCTTGACACCCTCTCTTCCCAATCTCCTCCCCACACATGTCCATACAGAAGAGGACTGAACAGGGAGAAGTTGTTGGAGTTTAGAATTGACACCCTCACCACGAACAGTACTTATTAATAAAATGGATTTTTGTTTTTTAGTCAGAGTCTCACTCTGTCGCCCAGGCTGGTAAACAATGGCACGATCACAGTTCACTGCAGCTTTGTCCTCCTGGGCTCAGGCGATCCTTCCGCCTCAGCCTCACAAAAAACTGGGACAACAGCCGGGCTCGGTGTCTCAGCCTGTAATCCCGTGTCTGTGGGAGGTTGAGATGAGTGGATTGCCTGAGCCCGCGGGTTCGAGACCCGCTTGGGCAGGGCGACCTCATCTCTACAATAAATTAAAAAAATCAGCCGGGTGTGGTAGCGCATGCCTGTAATTCCAGCTACTTGGAAGGCTGAGGCGGAAGGATCCCCGGAGCCCAGCCGGTCGAGGCTGCGGTGGCCGGGCGCGGCCACTGCACTCCAGTCTGGGCGACAGAGTGAGACTCCAACTCAAAAAAAAAAAACTGAGACGACAGGTGCACACCACCACGCCCAGCTAATTTTTTTTTTTATTTTTGATAGAGACAAGGTCTTGCTACATTACCCAGGCTGGTCTCAAACTCTTGGGCTTAAGCAGTCCTTCTGCCTCAGCTTCCCAAAGTGCTGGGATTACAGGCATAAACCACCACACTTGGCCAATATTGAATTTTTGTAATAGATCTTATAATAAATCTAAATCATTAACTTATAGCAAAAATGGATTTTGATTTTGATTTTTTCATTTTGTTTTTTCCGTAGGGGATAGTATTAACCCTCTGGTTCAGACCCATCAAATTCAAGTTGGCTGCAGGCATAGCTTTAGGGATTTCACTTTCTGACTAAAACTTTTATATAGGACAGAATTCCAGCAGGTTGTCCTTTTCTTTGGGAAATAAAGTTTTTTTAATGTCATGAAACACCTCTCCAGTATTTTCTAAAGGAGAACTTCTGTGTATTCAACTAAAAAGCAAAGACATTGACAGAAACATAATAAGACTATGGCTTTTATGATTTGAAAAGTTCTATGAGGTCATATTAATAACAATGGCAATGAAACTTAATTTATTATAAATGGTAACTTGGAGGTAACTATTTGAATGTGCTAAGTTCCAAGCAACCCATCCGAAAGTGAAAGTGGAGTTCAGTGTTAATGTTCATCTTATTCAGCTTAGTTGAGCACATGTACAGTTTCTATTTCACCCTAAAGTATTTCTGTTAGTCCTTCCTATCGAGACCATTTTTAGCAGCACTTGAAAATATATGAGTAGGCCGGCAAGGTGGCTCACGTCTATAATCCCAGCACTTTGGGAGGCCGAGGAGAGAGGATTACCTGAGCCCACGGGTTCGAGACCAGCTTGGGCAGCTTGGCAAGAGCTCATCTCTGCAATAAATCAAAAATTTAGCCAGGTGTGGTAGCGCGCCCCTGTAGTTCTAGCTACTTGGAAGGCTGAGGCAGAAGGATCACCTGAGCCCAGCAGGTCAAGGCTGCAGTAGCCGGGAGTGTGCCACTGCCCTCCAGCCTGGGCAACAAAGTGAGACTCCAACTCAAAAACAAAACAAAACGAAAATATATGACAAAAAGGGAAAGCGGGCCTTAAAATATATAAAGCTAGCATTTTAGGCAAAAATCCAGATTACAGAATTCTTACGATGTAAGAAATAATAACCTGTTTTCTGAGAGCGCTCCTGCCTTCGGACAGAATAACCAGCATAGGTTACAAAAGGGTTACCTCTCCTCCCTCCCGCCCCACCCCCTCTAGGGGTGCTTTAATTAGAAAGATAATAGCATAGATTAAAGCCTTAGCCATACTCAATGCTTCCCTTGACCTGAAGAAAACCACAGCCATAGAGAATGTGCTTTGTCACAAAACCTTGTTAGTTTCATCCAGGTACACCGGTGAGTTTACATAGAGCGATCAGCAGGCGAACAGTCTGTATGTAAGAGAAAAGATGACCCGTTACATGTTGATGATCTGACTCTCATATGGTCTTACCTTCTGGGTCAGAGCCTCGGAAATGGCAAGCACATCATTTTCACGCAGACGAGTGACATTTCCATGCAGAAGAAGGCTCACATAACCGCCCAGATGTGAACTGAGAACCCACAGCGTTCCCCTCCGCACTCGCCTCGACTGTGTATTTATGTGTGGGACGCCGGAACCATCGAAGCAGTGCGAAATTCAAGCACACCAAAAAGCAGATCCTTGCGTGGTGCTTCAAGTCCAACGAGATAAAACGATGGATCAAACGGATTATTTTTGCTTAATGAAGCATTCTGCGTGTTGAGTCTCCCCGGACTCCGTTTTTCCACAGGATGCTGCGCTCAGGGGCTGGAATTTGGAAATTCCACAATAGCTATATAATCAGTCAGCTCTGATTAATTTAATTGAAACTGGACTCTTGATGAAGCCCTGCTGTGCTTATAATTAAAAATTTAGAAACGGGTAGGGAGAGGGGTAGCTAGTGTGAGGGATTTCTTTCCCCCTCCTGTGAAATTAGCTAAGTGTATTAATTCAGAAGGTAGACCGTTGCCTCTGAGTGTTCGCTTTGGTAATCTGAACCATCTGCCTCTATACTAAGGGTTCGCTTTAATCCAGCTTACGGCTGACAAACCCGTCTTCTCTATCATTATGCCCTTGAATAGATGAGGCTGGGCAAAGTCCTTTGCCCTTCAACGTGTTGCCGCGTTGAGAACATTTGGAGGTTTTCTTTTGGTTTGTTTTTGTTGTTGTTTTGTTTTGGTTTTTTAGGTTTTGCCTGAGTTGGGGTTTTATTTTTCTGGAGCAGAGACAATGGCTTTCTTTATGAAAACTATGATAAGTAACCAGGTTAAGAATTTGGGATTTGGTGGTGGTTCTGAAGAGAAAAAAGAAGAAGGAGGGACATCTGACCCTGCAGCAGCACAAGGAATGACTAGAGAGGAATATGAGGAATATCAAAAGCAAATGATTGAGGAGAAGTGAGTACATGCCGCTTCGTTTCCCTTTGAAAGCAAAAGAAATTCATCCTGACCGTGCCTTCTCTGGTTCTCCAGCGTATTTCTCTTTGCTTTTTGCAATGTTTTTCCTCCTGCCGTTCACCTTTAACCCAAGGAAAGGTTGCTTTTCTAAAGTGAACGATTCCTTAGTATCAGCAGCTCTGGTGCTCTCTGTTCTACATGTACTATGGACATGAAAAATAAGAAATGAATGAATATGTTTTTCTTAAAGCAGCTTCACACTTTCTGGTCTGGGCATATTTTAATTGACTTCGAATTAATTGTTCAGATGGAAAATGGTGAGTCTGACTGTCTTTACAATCTTTGAGTTCACCATCCTGACGAGTAGAAAGTTCTCAAATCGCAAGAATTCAGGCTGTGTATCTAGAAGAGGGCCTTAAAGAGCATACAGTGAGAGCTCCTTGAGTGAAATGTGCAAAACAAACAAACCCAGAAAACACAGCATGACAATTAGGTCATAAGATCTGGCTTGTCAGACCATGAATATTTGTGAACTGTTCATCATGAAAATTCTAAACATTCTGAAAAGAAGAACAGTACAATTAGTACCCACATGTACCTATGACATAAAGTCCAAAGTTAACATTTTGCTCTACTTGCTTTATAGAGCAAATCAATGATAGATAATAATTTTGAAAGCACGTTGTAAAATCATGACACTTTGCCCTACCAGCCAGCTAGTCCCCCAAAATAAGGTCATCATCCTGGCTACAAAAACTATAACTCAAGTAAAATATAAGATATTAGCAACATTTTAGTTGGGTATTATAGAATGTACGTATCACCAACAACGTCTCACTAGTGAATGACTGATTCTTAAATAAGCATCATCTGTGTGCAATTTTTTAAAGTTTAAGCTAGAATCAATTTAAGAGCCAACTAAGAATTGAAACATCAATCTAGAGGTTAAATGGTCATCAGATGTTTCCAAAGCAAAGTATTTCTTTTTTTGCCACCGTGGCTATTTTGCTAATGATCAATTACATAACAGTTGCCTAAGTCCTATCGCTAAGATAATTATAGGTGAAAAGGTTAATGACCTGGAGGAAACTAAGAAAGTACAAAGCCTACATTTAGTGGAAGCCTTGTCTATTGTACTTTTCTGAAAGCAATTGTGGCTTATAAACTACCTAGAATGTATTATGCTTGGCTCTGCAGTAAATTTAAGTCCGTTTTTTAAACAAGTAAATGCAACTACAAAAACGATGGTAGTGCTAAGACTTGGGCAAAAGAAAGTAGCATTCCTTGAACACTGGCTGACTTTGCTTATTGCATGTAAAATAAAAAAAGCTTTTAAAGAAAAATGAGTACAGTATTATGAAGCAATAGAAGTCGAAATATAGCACCAAATATTCTCAGTTCAAGTAGGCTAATGAAAATCGTCACAAACTTAAATGATACATACTTAATCATGCAAAATAGCATCTAATATGTCCAAACAGTAAATCTAATCACAGGTATGGCATCTTTTTGATTAACTAATGTCCTAGTTTGCCATAGTTTTATAATTGGACAGTTCCATGCTCAAAATGGCCAAACGGTATGTTCGATCAGTAGATCGGGCAGTCAACTACTCGGCTTTGTGTGTGACAGAGAATATTATAAATATATGTAGTTTCTCAATTTAAGAAATAGTAGCAGGAAAATGAAGCAGATTGCTTCCCCATGGCTAAGAGGGGTGACTTCCAGTCCATTGCTTGAGTTTCTAAGCGCATCACCTAAAAGGCAACATGAAGTAGACATCAAAAGTGGTTCATCACAAGTTAAATGCAGAGAGAGCGACAGAAAGTATGGTACATATAATTAGAAATGAATAATAGCAAATAAAATCCTCTTAAACCTGTCCTCATCATTTTAGAAAAATGGGGGGATGGACTCTTAATCATAAACAGAAACTACTTAACAATGCAATCTGTTTAACAAGGTACATTCATTTTGATTTTCCTTTTGTGTTCAATTTTTTTGTTTTTCACTACTAGTAACATTAGTACTGAAAGAGGTCTCTGCCTAGACAGGATATTTGGAAAGGAAATAAAAGCAAAATTCTGTTTATTCCTCCACTTTCCTCAATGATATATGTACTTATTCATTATTACTATTTTTTGAGTCAGAGTGTCACTCTGTCATCCAGGCTGGAGTGCAGTGGCACCATCACAGCTCACCGCAGCTGTGATCTCCTGGATTCAGGTGATTCTTCCGCCTCAGCCTCCTGAGTAGCTGGGACTACAGGTGTGTGCCACCATGCTTGGCTATTTTTTGATGTTTTTTGTGTGTGTGTGTGGAGATGGGGGGTCTCATTATATTGCTCAGGCTGGTCTCAAACTCTTGGCCTCAAGCAATCCTCCCACCTCGGCCTCCCCCCAAAATGTTGTGGGATTTCAAGCGTGAGCCACCACACCCAGTCCTCAATTATATTCAAATGCCCCTTGGCCTTAGTTATAGTTCAACTGTCGCCAAGGTACCCCTTTTATAACTTGACTCTGAGCCTTACTTTATTCAGTCATTGCTCGGACCTCTGTTATGGGCTTGGCACTGTGAGGACTGTACTGACATAGAAGATATGGGTTTTCTTCTGCAGAAATATATACTTTACTTGGGGAGACTACTACGTGTGACTGTAAACAGAGCAACCAGCTTTTCTGAATGACGGGTAGCCTGTCTCTGGAGGGCTGGAATCTGGGTCTGCATGGCATTAGGATGAAGAAATGGATCAATGGAGCTTATTCAGTTATTTGGTTTTCAACAAAGGTGCCAAAATAATCAGTCAGGGAAAGGAAAGTCTTTTCAACAAATGATGCCGAGACAACCGGAAAATACTGAACTTTGACCTCTACCTCACACTACACACTGAAAGTAATTTGATATGCATCCTACGCCTCCACATCAAAGCTAAAACTATAAAGCTTTTAGAAAAAGATGAGCACAGGAGAATATCTTTGCAACTTGGAAGTGGATGGAGGTTTCTTTATCATGGCCGAGAAAGCAATGGCCATAAACTTTTTAAATGATAAGTTGGACTCTAAATTTAAAACTTTTATATGCTAAAAGAGACCTTTAAGCAAATAATCAGGCAAGCCACAGACGGGAGAAAATATTTGCAAAACATATATCTGACAAAGGACTGGGTGGGATCTAGGGTATATGAAGAACTCCTGCAACTCAATCAGAAAATCCAAAAGAAAGGGCAAAACGTTTGAACAAATACTTCAGAAAGATATATGCATGGCTAATTACCATACGAAAAGGCTGCTTAATGTCATTAGCTGTCTTGGAAATGGACAAAATCAAAATCACACCAGAGTGGCTAAAATTAAAAGACCAGAAAGATCAAACATTGGCCAAAGTGTGACACCACTGGAACACTTGTTTTAGTAGTTGAGATGGAAAATAGCACAAGCACTGTGAAGAGGCATCTTGCTGTTTCTTATAAAACTAAACGTACTTGACTGAGTGATCCTAGAACCCAGCAATTCCATGACTAGTCATTTACATAGGAGAAGTGAAAATGCATGTCCACAAAAAGCTTTTAGAGTACAACAATACTCGTTGCTGTTTCATTCACCGTAGCCCCAAATGAGAAATAGTTCAGGCGTTTGACAGGAGGATGGCGAGACAGATTGCAATATATTTGTACATATAATAGAATACTGCTCAGCGATACAAAAGACCAAACTACTGAGAAATAAGACACTATCAATGAATCTCAAAAGCCTTTTTTACTGAGTGGAGGAAATCTTGCACAGAAGAAGATGAGGTGTCTGTTTCCATTTAAATAAAGTTCTAGAACAGATGCAACCAATCCATGGCAGAAAAGACGGTGGTTGTCTCCAGGACAGGGGGCAGGCATTGATCAGGAATGGGAATGAGGGCATTTTCCCAGATAAGAGTAATGTTTTCTATATTGATAGGGGTTTGGGTTACCCAGGTTTGTGCATTGTGGGATACCATCAAATGATACGCTTAAGGTTCGTGCATTGAATTGTATGCAAGTTTTCCTTCACGAGAAAAAAGAAGATAGAAACAAACAAACATATCACTCTAGTTAGTGATATGTGGTTGAAGTATTCTGCGAAAAGTGTACTGCTTTCTGCAACTTTGAAATGCATCCAACAAGTAATAGGGAAAAATGAATGCATAGAGATAGATATGGGATATATGGGCAGTGAGATGCAAATATCTGTATAATAAGATGCAAATTGTAGAATCTAGGTGGTGGGCATATGGGTTTACTACAAAATTCCTTCAACGTTTCTGTGTTTGAAAGTTTTCATAATAAAATATTGTGAGGAGAAAAGATCTCTGCCCATGCCACTAATCTCCTAGTCAAGTCACTTCATTCTATGACCCTCCCCATAACTGGAAGCTTGAACTTGACGTTTTCTCATGTCCATTCCAGAACTGACACCCTGTGGATGGAAATGAGTTCAGAGAGCACCTGAGCCCAGGACCTGTGATCAGTGGTTTAATCTGATTGTTTGTCTCAGATCCCGCCCTCCCTTACACTCCGTCTTTTGTGTAAGGGTTAAGATCATTTCAAAACTTGGAGTCAAGAGATAGAGAACTGAAAATGAAAACGGGGGATTTATTTTAATGCAAATAATGCTTTCTGCAAAGAGCATTCACCACGTCCATGAGTGGAAATTCCACCAGGCCTCACACGAGAAGCCACGGGCGCTTTCCCCGTCTCTTGCCGTTGCTACGAAGTGTGTGGCTGCTTTGTTCTTCCTCAGCAGCCAGGCCACATGGCTGGTGGAAGATGGCTGCCGAGGGCCACCAAGCTTGCCCGGTACAATTCTAGCCAGGCACCGTGAGTCTCATCCCAATCCCAAATTCCCAAAGAAGAGATTTCATATACCGAGCTTGGTCCAACCCCAAATAGCCAGAGAGCAGGGTCATGCATTATCAATTTAGCCGTCGATAAATCACTTCTAAAGGCCATGGGGAAGGAGACGGTCCGTGTGAGCTCTGCAGACATCCCCAAAGGTGTTTGCTTTTGTCTGGATCAACATGAGTAAGAAAGTTCATTTCAAGGCAGCATAATCAGGAGATCAATTGGGTCACCTGCTGAGCAACGCCCTCGTCTGCCTGTCTGAAAAGTCTATCCCACCTTGTTTAGGGTTACCTCTTTCCAAACTGGGAAGAGAATACTGTGCCTAAGGTAAGATCCAGAGAAAGGGAAACAGCTTCATATTTTATCCCCAGGGCTGGGCGCAGTGGCTCATGCCTATAAGCCCAGCACTTTGGGAATCTGAAGCAGGAGGATTGCCTGAGCCCAGAAGTTCAAGACCAGCCTTGGCAACATAGCAAGACCTCGTCTCTACAAAAAACAAACAAATAAATAAATAAATAATATATATATATATCAAAAAATTAGCCAGGCATGTTGACACATGCCTGTAGTCCCAGCTAACTTGGGAGGCTGAGGCAGAAGGATCACCGGAGCCCAGGAGGTTGAGGCTATGGTGAGCCATGATGGTGCTTGATTCCCAGAACCAAGTTGTCTTTGGGATTTAGGCATCTGAACTGACTTATGATGGCAGAGTGATAGACAGAAAAACAGAAATCTGGGGACCAAGGGGGGAAAAATCCCATATTTCCCAGGTGTTTGTGGGCAATAAGAACTCAGAAGGTGTGTCCCAGTGTCCGGTTCCCCTGAGCAGTGGCTGGGATGTCCTCAATTCTCTATGTTCTTCTGATCCTTTATTCTTTAACTTTTAGGATGGAGAGAGATGCTGCATTTACACAAAAAAAGGCAGAGAGGGCATGCCTCAGAGTTCATCTCAGAGAAAAGTACAGGCTCCCAAAGGTAAGACACTCTGAAGACAGTAGCATCGAATCATTTCTTAATTAATAAGAAACGGGAAGCCATATGTGATTATCAGCAAAGGATCATGCTCATGAATAGATATATGTCTTAACCTTAATTGAGATGTTTGAGATAGTGAAAAGAGCATTAAACTAGGAATTTGTAAAAACCAGTTTTTAACTTATCCTCTATGAACTTCCATTTCTGCTGGGGGGAAAAATGGAGTCAATCGGTAGAGATGACATTTTCCTGTCATCTGTTGAGCTCTTTCTAGCTGCCAGGCCCTGGGCTTTGCAAGTATTCATTCATTTAGGTCCTGTTATCTCCTCTGTCTTACAGTAGGGGAAACATAAAATAGCTACCCACTTGCCAGGGGCCAGATGGGTGGGAAAGACAGAGCCCCGGGTCTTAACTTCCACAATACTCCACCTAGATTTAAGAGGAAAATCGATCACTGATTGTTGGACATGATGTAGCCATGATGTCATTACCTAGCACCTTCTCGTCCATCTCAGTGCTGGCTGAGAGGACCACTGTCTGTAGGCTCTGGTCACGTGGGCGGTAGGTTTACTGGTAGAAAGAGGACATGTGGACATGCCATGGCGCATGCCTCAGGTGTTCTGTTCCAGGGCTCGCAGCCAGTGGTGATGGAGAACTCAGCACTTTGCCGCATGCAGGCCGGGCTCGGTGGTCCATACATGTAATCCCAGCATTTTGGGAGGCTGATGCGGGAGAATTGCTTGATCCCAGGAGCTCAAGACCAACCTGGGCAACATAGCAAGACCTTGTCTCTACAAGAAATCAAAAAATTAGCTGGGCGTATTGGCCGGGAGTAGTCCCAGCTACTCTGGAGGCTGAGGTGGAAGGATCGATCACCTGAACTTAGGAGGTTGAGGCTGCAATGAACTGTGATCACGTCATTGCACTCCAAGCCGGGCAATAGGGTGAGATTCCAACTCAAGCAAACAAATAAACCAAAGATTCACCATCCTTAGAGAACATCTTCCATCTGGAGAAGCCAAAGAAAAAGATTCCTCCAAACGGCTTGATCCTCTCCCAAGTTCAAGAGTTGCCTCCAAGTCTGGGTAGCTTAGAAAGTGCTGCTAAACCAGTTCTTTCAATGGGTCCCCTGCAGGTCCCCAGAAAAAGGTGACGTTAGATACTACAGGCACTAAACAGGGGAGTATGAACTGCTCATGCAAGGTCACTGCAGGAAGTCACGTGCAGTACTTACCGTGCATAGTTACACAGCCCAGCCCCGACCTGTGGGAGAGGCTGACCCCTAAGATACCCAAGGAACCCAGGGCCTGCTCTCAGCGAAGGGAGAACACGCACGATGAAATTTAAACTCATTATCATCTGCAACCCGTGAATATGGGAAAAAAAGCTTTTCCAACTTCGCCCCCATGAATAGGTTTAATACTTTTTCACACAGTGCTTGCATTTTGGAAGAGTGAAGCACTTCTAAACATTGTCATTTCCACTTCCATTGTCTGGTGAATTTCCTGAAACTCCGCGGGATGTCGCTGCCTCTCCTGCCACATGGCCACCCCCAAGGCAGGAAGCCCAAGTTGGATTCATGCTGCTGAACTAAAGCCCCCAACCTCCTGTCTTGGTCCCTCTAAGTAAAGCACCACAAATCTTATGTGGGATGAAACAGAAATTCAGTACACACAGACACACACACACACACACACACACACACACACACACACACAAATGATCAGCTGGGCGTGCATCTTCCATAAAGATCGGGCTTCTTAAGGATTTATTTTTGACAACTGTTCTGTTATTTTTCCATAGGGAACGAAAGAGAATTGAGTTTCAGTCCTGGCTGTGCCACTGTGACACAGTGCAACTTCAGATGCCTTTTTTTTTTTTGAGTTGGAGTCTCACTCTGTCGCCCAGACTGGAATGCAGTGGCCGCTCCCAGCCACCGCAGCCTCCACCTGCTGGGCTCCAGCGACCCTTCCGCCTCAGCCTTCCGAGTAGCCGGAATTACAGGCACGCGCTACCACACCCGGGTGATTTTTTGATTGATTGTAGAGACGAGGTCTCGCTGCCCAGGCGGGTCTCGAACCCGCGGGCTCAGGCAATCCACTCACCTCAGCCTCCCAAAGGCACGGGATTGCAGGCCGAGCCACCGAGCCCGGCCAGATGACTTTTTAAAATATCCGAGCCTCCGTGTCCTCATCAATAAAAATGAGGGCAATAATCCCTAACTTCATAGGGTCTTTGTCTGGGATAATATAATATGATATGAAAGGATCCAGTACCACGCCTGAGAAATGCTAAGGACCCAACTGATAGAGCTCTTCTTGCTGCTGTTATGATCTCTGTGCACACATCTTATTTCCTGACACCGTCAAGCCAGGGTCTTGGCCATGGCTGAGTACACTCATGTATTTAATCAGTGCAACGACTTGAGGTCCCTGAACCTCAGTGCTCTTCACTCATGGTGAGTCGGCAGCCTCGCACATCGCCAGACCCTCAGGGGCGAACATTTTTAGGCTTAGCCGAAAGGTTTAAGTGCTCTTCAGATGGCTTTTAAAAATATCTAAGCCGCAGTTTCCTTATCTATAAAATGAGGGCAGTGATACCTTTAAAAAAATCCCAAATCTCTGTACAAAGCCATCCTTTGGGACAAGAGTCTTTGCAACAGAAATTCTGGAAAGAATCATGAAGTGTGCAGACTGAGATCCTCCCTGGAGAATGATTGCGACTGTATCTGCATGGACTACTAAAGCCAGCTGGGGTGGGGGCGTACATGAGGGAAGATGATAAGTTAACAGTGGAGTGCGTGGTGTCTTTCACTGCATGGCTTCCAAATGCTCTTCTACCCTTTCTTTTTTTTTTTTCTTGTGAGTTGGAGTCTCACTCTGTCACCCAGACTGGAGTGCAGTGGCCGCTCCCGGCCACCGCAGCCTCGACCTGCTGGCCTCCGGCGATCCTTCCGCCTCAGCCTTCCGAGTAGCCAGAACTATAGACGTGCGCTACCACGCCCGGCTAATTTTTGATATTGTAGAGACGAGGTCTTGCCAAGTTGCCTGGGCGGATCTCGAACCCTCAGGCTCGGGCAATCCACTCACCTCGGCCTCTCAAAGTGCTGGGTTGACAGGCTGAGCCACAGAGCCCAACCCACCCTTTCTACCATAGCCATTTCAAATGCATGATGTTTTTGAGACCCTTACCTGATTTTTTTCTTCCCCTGGACCCTAATGGAGACCTGGGAGTTTGTCTAAAAATCTAAAGCCACCGCCTCATTTTAGACCCCAGGAAACGTAACAAGCCACACCCATGGAGCGACGGAACCAGGATTACAACTCAGGCTCTTCAACTATGAAAAAGAGCAACTTATAAAAAGATTTGAACACAGCTCCCTCTCTCCCCAAAGTGTCTGTCCTTTCTACTCTCTCTTTTTTTTTTTTTTTTTTTGGAGACAGGTCAGATTGAAGTGCAGTGGCACGATCACGGCTATTGCAGCCGTGAACTCCTGGACTCAGGTGATCCTTCCTCCTCAGCCTCCAGAGTAGCTAAGACTAAAAGCACACTACCACACCCGGCTAATTCTGTATGTTTTTTTGTGAGGATGAGGTCTTCCCTGTGTTGCCCAGGCCGATGCCGAACTCTTGGGTTTCAGCAATCCTCCCTTCTCAGCCTCCCAAAGTGCTGGGACTCCAGGTGGGAACCACCACACCCAATCCTTTCGACTCTTCATATCTGAGCTGGCCCAGAAAGTTTCAGGGCAGTTTTGAACATAGCTTAAAACTGCTAAGACCTTCGGGGACAGAACGAACACCCTCCCTACTTCAGGGAAGTGCCACTGAGTTCCACCCCCAGTCGTCTGGAAAGCATCCCTCTCTTCCTGCTCCGGGATTGTGCGATGGTTTGACCTCTAGACCTGAGAGTGACGCTCTAAGTTCCAAACAGGATCCGAATAAATCGATGAGGATGTCCCTTGAGAGCAGGCCACACTTCTCCTTCATTGCACAGTTATTTCCAGACGGGGACACCCCCACCCCCAGGGCTGTTTTCGCCCAGGCTGGAGGGCAGTGGCACGCTCCCGGCCATCGCAGCCCCGACCTGCTGGGCTCCGCGATCCTTCCGCCTCAGCCCTCCAAGAAGCTGGAACGACAGGCGTGCGCCACCACACCCGGCTAGTTTGTTTTATTGATTGTCGAGACGCGGTCCCACCAAGTGGCCCAGGTTGGTCTCGAACCCGTGGGCTCAGGCAGTCCTCTCACCTCAGCCTCCAAAAGTTCTGGGATTATAGGTGTGAGCCTCCGCGCCTGGCCTCCAGGGCTTTTTTTTTTTTTTTTTTTAAATATATTTGGCTGCATTTTGTAAAAATCGGGCTCTCCGCACCGCGTTGCACAAACTCGCCTGCGGGGCGGAAAGCTCGGAAGACGCCCACGACACAGCGGCCCGCTCGGGAAAGCGACCCGTGGGTCGCCACGAGGGGGGCCCGGGGCGTGCAGAGAGAGACCTCCGGGGGGGCCTGTGCCCCCCTCAAGCCCACGCTTTTCATGAGATGGGCCCGAACACGGCTTGGCAGGCCTCCCACGGGAGACTGGGAGACGGGGCTAGCCAGCACCCTGCCCGCCCGGGAGAGTCTCGAACCCGTGACTCAGGCATTCCTCGCGCCTCC